TCTCTCTCTCTCTCTTCAAGCAGCAATATATATATATATATATATATATATATAACCTTCAACTATTTTTAATTTTTGCTTTTGCCTATACCGTGAACTTAATTTAGCAGTTCATATTCTGCATTTTTTTAACTTCTTTTGATTCAAGAAATTGGGATTGGGATTTGATAGGGAGGAGTGGTAAAGATGGGTGATTGAAGAGAGTGGTCTACTTTCTGTCAGGAGTTTCATGCTGCTATTCAAATGCTGTATGTTTCCTTCATTTTTTCCTCGAGTTTTGCCCATCATTAATAGGGTTCATTTGCATTCGGATATTGAAGGTTTGATTTATTTGATACAGCAAATAAAATGAGAGGACATAAGCATATTTTCCCTTGAAATTTTATCCTTCTACATGAGCTCACTATTTTTATGCTGGACGCATGCTAGGTTGACATCCGATGAATGATCCTGAAGTGCTTCGTATTTTCTCTATCAGTTTTCACTCAAGATGTCTGTACAGCCTTTATTTCAAATTCTTATAGTATCCTTTATAAGAAATGAAAATAGGTAGCGCTTCTTTTGTTGACCGTGTAAAAATCAAAATCTTTTAAATCGAAAATAATACAATATGCTCGAAATGTCTTTTGGAAGTTTATTTTTTTGTTTCTCATTCTTTGAATGGTTGAATGTCTTAGTCCTCTTGGACATCTTTTGATCTGTATTGAACTTTTTTGCTTCAACTTTTGGGTGTTAACAGTTGTAATTGGAGATGCTCCGAGTATTTCCTACAATGTTATTATGAATAGAATACTGAAATGTAAAAATCAGCTTCAAGGTTGGCAATTGCAACTATTGTTGTACTAGTCACCTGGTGCAACCTAAGTTTCTAAATATTTTATGGAAAACGCTTAGGAAGGCAATTAGAGAACTTCCTTTCAGGAAAGCATAAACATCCACGTATAAAACTAAAAGTAGAAATAAGTTTTAGAAAACAGCTTACAAAATCCGTAAACATAAAGAAATGACAACAAGGCTACTCTTAGAACAACCAACAAACGGTCACCTCACCTGCAAAGCTCAAAATATAAAGGATAGGCACTCAAATAATAGATCTAATATGGAGTCCACCATTGAAACGATCTGGCACAAGTCCACATTCTTTCGACAAATACCAACCAAAATGTGGCAGCAAACACCACTAAGCTCACAAGAGAAGAAGGATATAGATGGGGTGGGAACCAAGGATAGAGAAGAAGATGTAGAAGACCGAGGCGAAGTAATAGAGGGGAAGGGGAAAGGAGGTTGACTCGCAAGCTAGAAAAACCCTTAGGTTTGTATGCAAATTCTTCACCAAGAACTGTCCAAAATCAGTGGGAAAACAGCCCCTATTTATAGGGAAGAAAAGGGGGGAAAGAGTAAAAAATGCGGGTAGGTAAAACACTACATAGCCAGTCAATAAAAACTCATCAAAACTGCAACAAACTAGGACCAAAAGGACAGCTTTCAAGGGGGAAAAATGTAGCATCCACATAGCATAAAAGAGGTGGTGGGGGTTGAAACCGAAGCAACAACACAACTGCCAAGGAGGGGGAAACCAAAGCACCAAGGGTGGAAAATCGAATCATCAACGTGATGGAATGTGAGAGACAAACCTAAGAGCACCATCCTAGCATAATCATCAGTTGCCTTCCATCATAGGGTAATCAAAATAAAATTACAAATCATAATAAACCAAAATTTAAAAGAGTACATAAATATTTGTATACATCATCACTTGTCTACTATGATATGGTAGTTCATTTAATTTGAGAGAATGCTTTATAACGCTATCTCAAATTCTGGGTTTATAACATTTATGTGATGTGTAGGGCTGTGGGGAAGACTAAAATGGTGGATAATTGCTTCCAATTATAGTTGATAATCATAAATTATCAGCAATTTGGAGTGGAAATGTACCGGCAATTAAATAGTGGGTGGAGAGAAGTAATGGAGTCATGCTTTCTGCTGGAAGTGGGGGTGGGGGTGTGGGGGGATCTAATGGTCCTCTTTTGAGAGGAAGATCTTCTCTCCCAAATTCTTGATGCCGCTAGAATCCCTCCAAAAACTGTGGACAACAAACACTCACAAAACTCATCAATAGCATGATCTAAACTCTAAATAACTTCCCCTTAAATAGTCATAGCCACCATAACACAAATAGAACATTCCTAAATAATTAAATGTAATTTTGGAAACCTTCCTAAATAATTAAACATGATTTAGAAAGTATTCCTAAATAATATAAACATAATTAGAAAACTTTGCTAAAGAAATTAAGCAGCTTCTCCTTGATTCCTCCTCACGTAATGAATAATAGTTTCCCTATGTCCCACAAGGTAGCCTCCCTTGACATATCAATACTCCCCTCCCAGAAGAGCCACCTTGTCCTCAAGGTGGAATGAAGGAAGCTATTGTTGAAGAATATTTTTCCGGTTGCAAAAGAAAATGGGCGAGTAATTGTAATCTTGGAATGCATTTCCTTGTTGGATCCACGTCAAACAGTTGTAGCATGTTTGCTGCTTAAAATTGTATCAACAGTTTGTTTATGTGAAACAATACAGACATTTTTCTTTTCATTTCTCCAGCGGTAGAATAATGTTCCATTATTTCAGAAGAAAATGCATTGCCCTTAAATCCCTTAACATATTGGATAACTTTCTGTTGGTCTTCGTTCAACTTATCCTTCAAGACTTTATGTGAACTTGAAGAATAAAAAGAATTGGTTGGTACATAATTTTTAGTTTATCTCTGCAGTATCTTCATTATCTTGGCTTATGAAGTTTTGATGCTTGCAGTCTTCAATGCCATTTTTTTCTTTTAGGAGATTTGCAGGTGAATCAAGCTCCGCTAATGCAGATTTACCATCAACATCCAAGGATACTTTAGTTGAATCTTTTTCTACACTAGGATCAACAATTTTTATCATTTCATCCCCATCAATCTTGCTTGGTACAAGTCTTTGATCTTCTCTCGGCATATCATTTTTGTGATTCCCCCATGCTTCCGATAGTGTCGCCTTAGTTTGATTCTTTAACATTTGTTTCACCATCACTTCGAGATTTTCAAACTATCCTTCCATCGCCAAAAAGTGCTCATTCAACAATTCCACATCCGTTCGCAATTGCTCTACTTCCCTCTCCAACTTTTCTTCCAAGACCTCAACTCTTCTCTCGACCATGGATCCTTAGAAATTGCTTTGATACTAATTTGATAGGACTTGAAAACCCAAAATCAGCGAACAAACAATAAATTTCAGCAAACAACTTATTTTTATTGATATGAAATGAAACAAGAACAAGCAAGTTGCAGTGATCCTTTTTTGAGAGGAAGACCTCTATCAAATTCTATATGCCGCTAGAATCCCTCACAAAATCCGTGGACTACAAACGCTTACAAAACTCATCAATAGCATGATCTAAACCCTAGACAACTCCCCCTTAAATAGCCCTAGCCTAACACAAATAGAACATTCCTAAACAATTAAAAATAATTTAGGAAATCGTCAATTAAACATGATTAAGAAACATTCCTAAACAATTAAACACTTCCTAAACAGTATAAACATAATTTAGGAAATCTTCCTAAACAATTAAATATGATTTAGGAAACCTTCCTTAACAAATTAAACAGCTCTCCTTGATTCCTCTTCCTCACATAATCAATAATAGTAGGGGTGTCAATTTTTGACACGACCCGAAACTGACCCGGAAAAATTCGGGTTCGGGTCAACCCGAACCCGAAACGGGTCGGGTTGAAAAAATCAACCCGTTTTAAAAATTGGGTCGGGTTCAGGTTGACCTAGCAACCTGAAATTGACCCGAAAGTGACACGAAAACTCATATTTGACACGAAAACCTGAGATTGACCCGTTTTGGACCCAATTTTGACCCAAAAATCGAATATTGACCCGATTTTGACCCGAAAATTAGCAATTTTAGGTCACCTTCGGATCATTCGTGTCGGGTCGGGTTCGGGTCCAGAAACCTGCTGTTTTAAAAACGGGTCGGGTTTGGGTTGATCCAAACAGCGCCGGGTCAGTTTCGGGTTCGACCCGAACCCGACCCGCTGACCCGAATTGACACCCCTAAATAATAGTTTCCTTGGGTCCCACAAGGTGGCCTCCCATGTCGTACCACATACATGATGATTGCAAAATGAGAAAAGTAAATGAGAGATTAAATAGAATTAAGGGAGAATAAATGCATATACTCTTAATATTGCAATACTATTTCCTAGGAAGCATTATATGCTAATGATATTGATTTGAAAATGCTTATGATTGATTTTTAAAGTGAGGTATCTTAGTGTATATCATTTGCATGTGATGTGTTTTAATAAGTGAAAGACCTATTTTGAAGTGCTTACTTTTATTATACAGGAGGATATGGTTGAAAATCACTTGCAGAGTCAAAAGTTAATCATTAAAATCAAGGGGTGGCTTGATATTTGGGAGCATTGTCCAATAAGATAATTTTATAGAAGCTTAAAATGGTGGGTTTTAATGAACTACAAATTTACCATGTGCTATATATATTTGATTGCTGGCCATCATAAAAAGTCACTGACAACTAAGTGGGAGAGTAATCTCAATCTTTAGACTGATTTTTTTGCAAACATAGGAGAAAAATAGAGTATAAGAATTGTTATATATTAGAGAAATATTAGTTAGTCAAATAGTGGAAGCTCAATTTAATTGGTTTGATAGAATTGAGGTACAGTGAAGGACAAAAGATATGCTAGCAGGACGGGTTTTATATTTGGGGCATTTACATACATATCACTTTATTTATGCTATTTACATATCTAACACCTAAAATATTAATATTAAATGCCCACTATCCATAAAACAAATTTGGGTGCATGGAATGAAATATTAAAGTTTATAGGATGACATGAATGGTAGAAATGAATTATATGAGTGATATTTTTGATATTAAAGTTGTATATGAGTGATAGACATGTAATATTAATGTTTTGAGAATTAGATATGTAAATAGCATGAAATAAAGGGGTATGTATGTAAATTTACATTTGAATTTTGATGTTGCTGGTAAAATATCTAAAACTTTGTTGAAATAATAGGAGAATAACTTTAGTGTTCTTGCGGTGTTCGATCTTTTGCGGTTATGAAAGCCCATTCAATCACTAAATAGTTTTATATAGCTTTTTCAATGATTGAATGCTAGCTAATGATTCTGATTATTAAATTTTGTAGACCAAGTGTTTGTGTTGGTTCAAGTTTTTAAAGTACTTATCAATGGCAGGTACTTGAAGACAGAAATCTTGGTGGAGAAAAATAAAAAGAAAAAAGGAAGCCAACGTTTGAACTACGCATTGGAGTTGTTTAGCTGGGTAGGGGAGAGTAATATGCCAAATTAGGCTTCTTGTAATTTTCAGGGTGAACCAGCTAGAATTTTTGTTTTTTTTTTTAATAAAAACTTTACTTATATTCTAGTTTTTGTAGGTGATAAATAGTTCTGTAATTTCCGAAATATTTGCCGATACTATGTTTTGTTTGCGTTATTTTCTTATTTATTCACAACTTGAAGGTTGTGTTTTAGGTTACGTTTGGGACGATTTTTTTGCTGCTTAACACAGCTTTTGTTTTACTGCTTCTTAAAACAGTAAGAAAGTCATCTCAAACAAAGCCTTATTCTTTTGATAATAAAAACATAAAACCTTTAATTCAATTACAGGTTTTGGAGGCATTTCTCATAAGCAACCACATGATTGATATTCTCCAGATGGTTCAATTATAGTTGTTGTTTTTTTAGTATTAATTTACTATTTTTCCTTGATAAAGTCTACAGGACAACATTTTTCTGTACTGTTAATACACATGACTTTGTGTCTCTGCACTTAGCAAAATTTGTAGCAATTGAGCTTGGGTCTGCGGCCAAGTGGTTAACGAAAAAAATTCCTCCTATTTCATCCGGGTTCGAATCCCCTAACCGTCCCAAAAAAAAATTTGTAGCAATTCTCATAATTTTTTGTTGATTTCTCATAATTTTTTGTTGATTTATGTCCGTCCATTACTCCTAGTTCAAATGTCCCTTCCAGCTGATTTGGAGCATCCAATCTCAGTATTTTCCTTTTCTATTGTTTCAGACATTTTAAATAATTGATGATTCTCTTTGTTCATTTCTTCATTCTCTCTGGCTGATTTCATATGTTTAGGTGCGACTTTTGTTCATAAGAATAAGGCTTCGTTTGGGACGGCTTTTTTATTGCTTTCTAAAACGGAGTTTTAGTACAAAAATAAAAAATTTTGTACTAAAACTCCGTTTTAGAAAACAGTAAAAAAGCCGTCCCAAACGAAGCCTAAGGTTTTGTTTGAGGGATTTTTTTATTTGTAGCAGTCGGATTGTATTACACTGCTTAATGTATGCCTCTATATATGGAGAAATTATTATGTGCAGTCATCAGATTGTTTGAAGACGAATTAGGATGTGCAACATCACCCGGTACATATCCAATATTAGTACATAGCAAAAAGTGGCATGATGCATCATGATTTGCCTCCAGGCGATATCTGGTGACCGGATAAAATAATTACATGTATATATATATATATGCATGCAAGTCTCTTGTTGGTTATCATTAAAAAGGCAATTAATCATTTAATTTTTATAATATACTCTTACATAATCAATCAAATATTCAAAAGATTATAAATTTATATGGATAAAAATTGAATTAGAGTAATCTACTAATCTGACCAAAAAGTTTTCCCTATTATTTTATTCGAAATTAATTTGGTCTCTTGCATTCAGAAAAATCTACCTTTTTATCTGTCAATGTTATAGCTTTTTTTCAAGCTTATCGTACCTCTTCTTATAGTACAAACTTATTAATATTTTTCTAAATTAAATAATTATTTTCAGAAAAAAATTAGGATACTTACAATTTTTCTTAATAGAATCTACTCATTTGATTGATTGTAGGTAAATAATATATAAGTTTATAAATAAATAATCTGTTTTTCTCATGAAATTAATATAATTATATTTGAAATATTTTAAATAATGTATAATTTGGATTTTCAGCGCATCTAGCCAATAATTTACAGTTCATCCATAACTTTTCAGTGTTTTGCAATTTTAGCTAATCAAATTGGCAAAAAAGCCAATCAAAACAACTTCTTTATTGATGAATCTTATGTAGCTTTGTTTACCGTTTTTCAAAATAAATTTTTAGTATAAAAAAATTTAATTTAAAAAATAATGAAAAAACTGCTCCAAAAAAAACCTTAATTTTTTCAGAAGGGCATATATATATTATGATAAATTTTACTTTATCTTTTAAATGAAAATTTATAACATTTTTTAAAAATTTTGTGAAAATTGAAATCAAACCAATCACAAGATGGTTTAGAAATAAATTATTTTTTTACGTCTACAATTCAATTTCCACTTTGCCCCAAATGTCACGGCTTTGCGGGCGCGGCTCCGGAACCAAACGCGACTTCGCTCGATGTCCTCCATTCTTGGGTGGTAAGCGCCTGCTTTTCCCCCCGGCGGGCGACTAAGATCTGCCCGGTCTTCTTCATCTGCTTCTCTGTCAACGAAGATCTTAGCCCCTCTTTCCATATATAATGGTATGCCGCCATTCGAACCGTGTCGATTCGAGTTGTTATTGCGATAAGCTATTTCCATAGGCGAAATCTTCTTATTCTTCTCTCACTTTTGGGTTGATTTGATGCAAGATCCGGTTTATTCTGCTCCAGAACAGGCAGGGAAAGACCCGCCTAGCAAAGTACTATGTCCCACTGGAAGAATCCGAGAAACATAAGGTTGAATATGAGGTAATCGTCTCCCAATTTCTAGAACCAAATTAGTTTGATCCGTGAAAATGTGGAGTTCTGTCTTATCTGTCTTCTTTTCGCGATTTCTCTGAAGGTGGAAAAGGATGTATAATTCCGTTTGAGATTGTCATGTGTGGTGCTTAGGGTTTTTCATTTTTTTTTTCAGGTTCATCGATTGGTGGTAAACAGGGATCCAAAGTTCACCAATTTTGTGGAGGTAAGCGTCATACTTTCTCTTTTGTTGATCAGTCCGAAATAGGTTTCTATCGCTTGCTTGTTTGTTCTGGGATCTGAGAGCTAAAAGATTTGGGGCAGATTGATTCTGCGTCTGACTAATTTATATTGTTCGGCAGACATGTCTCTTTGTTGAAGCAGTGCTAGGAAATGCATTTTTCTAAGCACCGTTACTTCTTTTGGCATCTCGATTCAATAATTTGGCAGCACATATTGGGCTTAGAATTAAATAGATATATTATTTTCCATCTTGTGTTCCCCCAGGATGGTGCATAAAATTTTTTAAGAGTGGTAGAAGTTGAAGATGTAATGTTTTTAATATGCGAGGTTATGTTTAATGAAGAAGAAAAGCTGGAACGATAGATAAAATTTTGGTGTGTAAGGGACTTCGGATTAATTGAACAATTATTATTGGCAACATTTGCTGTTTTAGGTGATGTGAAGACAATAATGAGTCTGTTAAGAGTTAGTTAGAAGAGTAGGTTTATACTTTGTATTTACCATACAGAAAAATCGGGTTGTAGAATAGGATATATCTAGTTGAGTAAAACGCTGGGTGCTTAAGATGCATCTAGTTAAGATTTGCTTATAATATATATTTGGATATGAGTGTTATAGATTCCCACGTAGTGGGATAAAGGCTTGATGTTGTTGTAGTGTTATAGATTAAAGAAATCCCTGGCAACCAAGCTAGTTGTGGTTCGAAGTGAGAGTTGCTAAGATAAACATTTGGTAAAAGTATAAGGGTAGAGTGCCAAATGATTATGTTTGACTATTAAGTGACATTCCAATTTGAGACATAGACAAAAAATAAATACTCAATAAGTAATATAGAAAATTTCTTTCAAAACCATAAATTCAAGACCAATTCAACACAAACTCTTTCTTATGTTGTAATAGCCGACTATCTTCCTGCACAACCCTTCTTTATAACTTGTCATTTAGGAATGATATTGAATTAGTGTTTACACTGAAGAATATTGATCAAGGACACTAAGGGTTTGGCATCCCAATGGCACTAGATGATATATACTATGCTTTAATGCAAAAGATTGTTTATAATTTGTAGATCACAATTTACCCCATTACAATTTACTAATTTACCCAATAATTTATTTTTATTAAATGTAAGCAAATAATACTATAGTTTGAAAACCAATTGAAAAAATATCCTATATTTTCAAAAATAATTTAAAAAGAATTAAAATCAATAGGAACAAAATTAATTTCTACAAAAATAGATTTCTAGCATGTCACTTTTTCACCAAATTCAAGAGTGTTATGCTGGCAAATAGCACATTATATAGATGGAATATACAAGAAAAAATATCAATATAAGAAAAACAAACCTCCAGTGGGTTTATGGTGATAAGTTTTCCTATAATCAAGTAGCCTCACGTGCACCACATTCAAAAGAATCATACATGCAACTTGTACTTGCAATACTGAAACTTGGGAGATAAATTTAATTCAAGTCCCAAAGTTATGAGTTACTTTCCTTAAAACCTTATTTATAAATTCTTTATAGCCTGAGCTAGCAGATAAGGTTGGGTTGGCACAAAATCAGCTTTGATTTAATTTTAAGTAAAATTTTCATTTTAATTTTAAGTCCCAAATCAATTGCACCAGCCTTAAGGCCATGGCAAACTCATGTTTGTTGATCCAATCACAAGCCTAACTTTTAAATTTTCCAAATTAGTCGTATGCAAGTCCCGCACTCCACAACTCCAACCCACACAAGTTTCTCTCCAATTACATTGCATAGTGCAGGAACCATACTCCACGCTTGCACTAGCAACTCCAAGCCCTCAATTGGTTCTGCATGCCTGAAACTTCTTTTTCTTTTTGTAATGAATAATTTCAAAACCACCGCACCATTGTATTAATTTGTTCACCTTGAAAATTTTTTGCTTACTCAAATTGAACTTGTAATACCAAACCCAACAATAGTAAAAAAAAAAAAAAACCATCAATTTCCTAATTCTCCAAACAATGTAAAGATATATAACATGATCTACCATAACTGCACTTTTGTGACAATTAATCTAAAAATAAATTAAGAATAAAAATAGTTTAATAAAAAAAAAACTAACATAAAACTATGAAATAAAATACAACATTTCTTGGCCAATTAATCCCTTCTCGGCGGTCATCATAACCGGTTTGTCCTCAGAACATAACAAATAAAATGAGCCAACTAATAGAAAAAATTTAACTAAAGAAAAGAAAGTATATAAACAACACAAATTGATGTTTGATGTTATGCTTCCAATGAGAATAAATGTAAAGTTTTATATCAAATCTATTTGTCTTGGACATACTTGGCTCAAAATTTAGCATATGTTGCTTTCAAGCTAATCTAGATAGGAATTTTTGGGTCCTGTAAAGTAATGCATGAATCATCACAGTTAAGTATGCATCACTAGTGATAATGTCTCAGAAGTTCACCATCAATACACAATATCTGCATTTGGAGTAAGCTGCATAAAAGAATTTGGCAATAGATTGGATGGAACTCGCAAAGAAGAGTTGGAATGAGAGTAGAATCCAAGCAATTAGAAGCTTATGAAATAAGGTTATATCACACAGTGAAAGTAGATTTATACCATAATAATTATTCAATCAATTTGTAGTTATTAGTTCCAATATATTGTGCAATTTTAAATTGTCTCCATTTTAGGTGCATTCAGTTTTTTAAAGGTTTCATATGGAAGCCTTTCTGGACTTATATGCATTATGGCATTATTACTAAGTATAAATTTTGCATACCTCCTATTCACATTGGCTGAAGGCTTGTAATTGTCATCATTACTTGCTAGTTTTTTCCCAATATCCTCACGCAGATCATGCAAGTATTTGTGCAAATGTGCTAAGCCTAAATTCTATAGGAAGGTTAACAAGATCTATAGGTTTTTTATTTGATACATTGTAAAAATCTAAAATGCACTTATTCCATTAGATATATTAGCAGATGAATCACATGCAAATTATAGAATATCAAATTTCAGCCATGTGCCTGGTTGTTTATCAGATAACGTAACAAATCCCCTAAGCACCAATTAACCATTTCAAATTGACGATCAATTTGTGGGTACTAAACTGATGAAATTAAGCTATGTTTTCATTTTCTTCCATGTTTACTAGAAATGACTCATGAGTTATATAGCATGATAAAAAATTATTATTTTAGGTAGATCATGTAATTAACCACTTTATTAAAATATATGTTACTTAAGTGAGGTGCATGAATAATTTTATGACTTGGTATGAAATGCTCCAATTTTTTAAAATGATCTACCAATACAAAAATTGAATATGTTTTCTTGACCTTCATGATAAACTTAATACAAAGTTCATACTAAAATTCTCCTAGAGGTTAAATGGAATTGGTATATGTATGCAACTCCATGTTCTATTTTCTACCATTGGAAGAATGACAAGTCCTACATTTTAAAATAATTTTTGTTACGTCTGTTTACATGCTTAGCCAAAAATACTTACTTTTATTCATTACAGTAGTCTTATCTCTACCAAAATGCCTAATAACACATCTAATATGTAGTTTTAAAATTATAAAATATTTTAATGATGAATAAGGAAATGCAAATACGAGTGCCTTGAAGAAGCATTTAATCATATAGTCTTTGTTATGCAAAGATAAGTCATTTTTTAAGTCTTTATAAGTGTTACCAAACTAGTTACGAGTGACATATTCCTCTTTTATATGTTCAAAAATTAATTATTTTTATATGCATTGTATCTAGAAGGACAAACACTCCACTAAAAGCATTTGTAGGTTTGTTATAAGATCAAATACAATATTTAAGAAGTCCTAACTTGTTTTGATAATTCAAATATTTTAGGACTCGATGATCAAAACATAACATGAACTCCTTAGCTACTATGTTATTTCTCAGATATCAAAGAGCTTGCTCCACATCATATATTTTCGATCATAATTAAATATTTTTGTTTAGCCTTATTCCATTTCTTATTAAAGAATGCAATAAGATGCCCTTCTTTTCCTTAGCACTCATTCAATAACAACATCAGATGCATCATGAGGAACCCCTAAGCACCTCATTAAAATTAGACAACTTTAGTTCATGTCCATTGGCAAATATTTATTTAATTTCAATAAACTCACTATCAATAGATTCATTCCATTTAATCTCTCTCTATTTAAGAAAATTTATAATTGGATCTATAACAATTCAAAATTCTTTAATGAATCATTTATGAAAAGTAACCAAATCACGAAAAATATTATTTATAGTAGATTCTTTCAGATAATTAATCACTTTAATCTTATTAGAATTAACAACTAATCTAATGCTAGACATAAAAATATTAAAAAAAATCATGGATTGAGTAACTAATTAGCATTTTTTTCATATTCAAATATAATTTTTTAGCTTGTAAAACAACACATACTCTCCTACGATCATGAAATTATCATCTTGTATCTTTCTATAAATTAAAATATCCTCAAAACAAATAGCAATAAATTTTTTACATGAAATATCATGTGGTATTGTTTATCATTCTCATAAAAAGTACTAGGTGGACTAGTTTGTTAGGCATCACCAAACATTTATATAATTCACCATCTCTCATTCTAACTTGATGATGTTCATTCATCAAATAAATTTTAGAAAATGTCATAATATCATTCATCATATCTAGAGTGCATTTAATAAAGATATAAAAAGTTTATATTTAATCATGATTTTTTTATGGCTCTACTATCTACATATCTTTTTAGACTACCATCCTTGTTATGTGTAAGCAAAGTCGGTACACTGTATTTACCCACACTTTCTCTAATAAATCTCTTCTTAAGTAATTCGTCAACCTATCTCTTAAGTTTGATTTGTTCTTTTGGATTCATCCTAGAATGAGGTAAATTACACAATGATGATTCAGAAGTTAAACCAATAGCATTGTGTATCACCCTTCCTGGTGGTAATTCCTTCGATAGTTCTTTAGGACAAATATTTTTTAAATCATCTATTACTTGATTTACATAAGCAAATTCACAACTTTATGTACCTCATTATTCAATTGCACAGCTATTAAAGCATGTATCAGTCCCTTTTTTCTTTCCTATACCCTGTATCAAGGCATGTTTAGTCACAGCGTTCAAAGACTTTTGACTTCCTTGGGAGCACTAGATTATTGGGAGCTCTAGATTAGTGTGTGGATTCATGTTTAGTTGTTTACTCTTAGGTTTTGTAAGTTTTAAAACTATCATACTCTGATTAATCTTAATGGTATTGATCCTCTCAAAATAAGTAACATCTAAATTATATGAGTCATATGAGGAACGTTATGAGGTATTGTCTATCATCATTATTAATTATGAGATACGCCCAAAATAAGTAACATCAAAAGTTATATTAGACATCCCAAGGTTTGCCCCAAAAAAAAGAGATATGTCCATGGGCAGCTCATTTAATTAAATTTTATCTATATAGGTAGCCAACTGAATCATAACCAGACACATTTGAGACACAAATATAGTAGCTTTATCTATCCAAGCTATTTATATGATTATGGATATAATTTAGGTTTCAAGTTCATGTGGTTTAAATCAGATTTAGGAACAACATTGATACAGCTCCTACTATCAGTTATAAGTTTGTAAAGTTTCTCCCCTTATTTAAGTATGTTTGAAAAATTGTAATCCTCATCCTTAGATTCAATTTTAGGAGAAACTATGATGCAACACATGAAACTCATAGATTTATCAATTGAAGCATCACGAGAATGACTAATATCTTCATCAACTCATGAATATCATTAGAATCATTGGTTTCATAATCTTTTCCCTCCACATTTATATTGTAATTCCTATTGAGATACTCAGCAGTATAATAACCAGTTTGATGACACTTAAAACATGCATTGGCATAAATATTAGTCCCAAATATAGATGCAGTTGATTTTCCCGTAACGCCCTTATCAACTGTGGTATTATTACCCTTAGATGCAATAAGCGGAATAGATTGAACTTCATTGCTTTTTTGAAACTATGCACTACCTGAATATGTGGCAACCCTCCTAGAAAAAAAATTGGAATTTTTGTTCAAAGTCTAATGCAAGTTGAAATGTATGCTCAAGTGATGGAATGTAGCGAGGTTTCATCTTTCTCTTGATTTTAATTCTCAAATCAGGCTCATACATAGAGTGTTGTATTAGGTTCTTCATTGATTTCAGAACGGAACAACAATTCAACTTGTTCATTTATTCTATACAAGTTTTGGTTTTTTGTTTTAATGGATTAATCATGATATGACAAATGCATGTAATTTTCTTATAAGTTCTTCATTTTTGGTCCTGGTAGTTACTGGTTTTTTTCTCCATCTTTTAATTTGTGTTTTCATACTCATTTAATAAATTTTTTCTTGCCGAGTTAATTTCTTTTTTGCAAATCTTACTTGACGTTCATATGACATAGTTTGTCATTCAAAAAAATTATCATGCATACCATCCATTTGGGAATGCTGTAGGATCAATTCTTCCGTCATAGGTAGACACTTTCTATTTTAACTCTCCTATTTAGTCATCTGCATCAAAATTTTGATGTTTATGATTTTCATAAGCACTATTGTTAAAGATTTTGAAATGTCTATCTATTTGATAACCCTGTCTCCAACCAGAATTTACATTTAAATGAATTGGTTCATCATTATCATAGAAATTCACTTCAGGTTCACATGCATGAACTTGATTGGTTTCCAAATTATTAATTATTGTTTTAGCCATATTAATGCCATCAAATTTTTTATTTTGCTTTTTTAACATTTGAGTTAATTGCTGTGGTAATTTTGTCACAGTTCATCCCTTCACGGTCTATTAAGTCATCATGGTAATTAGCTCTATCTCTAAGTGACATGTTGAGACTACCTTCTTTGATACTATCTAAATGCAACTAATATTATGCGAAATATAATTTCTTGTAAAGAAATAAATGTTTCATGTAAAGAAATAAATGAGGATTCTTATATCATAGGATATCAATTAAACAAGTAGTGCTAGAGTTTAAAATCAAATGATAACTAATGAAAGTTTCAATAAGAATATAGATATTAATAAAATTTGCGAGCAAATGCTAAAATTAAATCTTGAGGTATTAACTTTTTGATAATATTAAGAGTGTTGTGTTATCTAATAGCAAATTCTATAGAAGAAATAAATAAAGAAGAAAATTACAAAAATGATAAAAATTAGGCCTAACACTTGTATATTAAGATAACTTACCCTTAAATTAGGTAGTCTTACATGTATCACAATTGTAGAAATCACACATTCAATTTGTTCAAAAGAGGATGTTTTTTCAAGCCACAAAATTATCGATCACATGCATCATAACCCTTATAGTCTTCTTATAGTCTAGGTTGATTTAGGAGGGTGACATAAGATTTTTGATGTTAAGTTAATTTTTCAATTTAATTTCAACTTCCAAATCAGTTGCACCAGCCCTCAAGTCCATTGCAATCCTGCGTATGATGATCTGGCCAGAAATACCGCTTTTAAAAATTTCAAATCCAGCCGCATGAAAGTACTTTACTTTCAACTCCAAACTCACAGAAATCCCACACGGATCACATCACATGGCTTAGGAACTACACTCTATGAGGAGGCCTGCAACTCCAATCCACACGCCCGTTACAATTTTTTTTTCAAATAACTACCAAATTAGATATGGAAACATTTTTAGTAACATATCAATAGAAAGATAATCAACCAGTTTGGTGATGCTCTTTCAACCTGCAACTGCAAATTAAGCCTTACTTTTAGATGCTGTATACGTTGTGGTCTATTGGCGGAAGTTTTAAAAAGAATTACTCTACTGGGGATATTTTGTGAAACTCTTTTTTTTTTTTCACAAGATTTTTGGTTAAAGCACTCGCCTTGAGAAAATCCGTTTATTGGTCACGGAAAAGTTCCATGTAATTAGTTTTACCTAATATTCTGCTCGTCATTACTAAGCTGTGGAAAATTTTGCAACGAATATGAAGTTTTTGTTATTTTCTCTGTTGTATTATACTCTTGTACCATCCTTTTCTTTTCTTTCATTGCAGTTCCGCACGCACAAGGTTATATACAGAAGATATGCTGGACTTTTCTTTTCAATGTGTGTTGATATAACCGATAATGAATTAGCATACCTGGAGTGCATCCATTTATTTGTGGAGATTTTGGATCATTTTTTCAGCAACGTATGTGAGCTAGACTTGGTATTTAATTTTAACAAGGTTTGTGTTCTTCTTAATATTTCAATCTTTTTTTTTTTCTTGTCAATTTTATTGATAATTAACAGAACAGTCAGCCCTAGCACCGTCAAACTTTCTGTCAATTTTTTCTGTTGCACTCATTTCAAGTTTATAAAAAAATTTACTGCATGCTAATTATATTGTTGAAATGTTGCTCGAGGAAAAGGTCAAAATAATTTATATTATCTACAACAACAACAACAACAACAACATCAAGCATTTATCCCACTACGTGGGGTCGGCTACATGAATCCTTTTTCTCCATTGTGTCCTATTAAATGTCAAATTCTCGTTTAAATCTAATAAAGAAAGGTCATTCCTAATAATTTCTAACCAAGTCTTTTTAGATCTGCCTCTACCTTTCTTAACATAAGTCAAATCAAATACCTCTACTCTCCTAACCGGGTCATTGGAAGGCCGCCATTTTATGTGACCAAACCATCTAAGGCGACTCTCTCTAATCTTATTATCTTCTATTGGAGCTACTCTAACCTTTTCACATATATGCTCATTTCGTATCCTATCTTTAAGGGTAAAGCCACTCATCCACCTAAGCATCCTCATCTCTGCCACACTTAACTTAGTATTATGTTTCTCTTTTAATGGCCAACATGCAGGCGCCATAAAGCATTGCAGGCCTCACTATCATCTTATAGAATTTTTTCTTTAGTTTGAGGGGTACTTTTCTATCACACAACAAACCCGATACATTTCTTCACTTCAACCATCCAACTTTAATTCTGCTGATAATATCCCCATCTATTTCATCATCACTCTGAACAATAGATCCAAGATATCTAAAACGTGTACTCTTATCAATGACTTGATCCCCCAAAGTCACAATCCCCTCACTAGGTCTATTACTACTAAAATTACACTCTATATATTCCATTTTAGATCTACTCAAGC